AAACTATATACAATAGGAAAAGATATCAAGTATAAAATTACAACCAACATAAAGAATATTAAGCAAGGAATACATGATAAATGTTTTAATAGACATTCTATTTCAAAGAGTCTAAGTCTTGCATGGGAAATAGGCTTGGCTAAACCATAAGAGGATGGTAAGTACGACTGTCTAATCTTCAACCCCACTGAAGGCCTGAGAAGGGAAATAATATTACTTGAATAGGCAGGAAGTGCAATCAAGCAGCTTCCAAAGGGAGCAGTATATGACAGAGACAATTGGGTACCTGAGCCCAAAGTCTCATTTGCAACATTGAAGCAACAACTTTGGCTAAGGCCTAGTGTAACTGACAGACCATTTTCAGAGGCAGGAAATTTTTCAGAACCATCTTACCCTGTCTTGGCAAGGTTTGGCAGTCTTTTTCCTTGTGTCCTGCTTATCCAGTCTGGGTACCATGTGCTTTGTCAGTGGTTGAGGCATTGTCAGTTCCTTGCCTAAAGACCAATTGTGCCAAGAAGAAAACAAACTCCAAGTGGAGTGTCTTCGGTGCTCAACATTCTCTTGGGAATAGATTGGTGCTGTCAGGAACAACATATCTCATATCAACAGAACCCTAGGTTATTTAAATGTTCTACATACAAATCCTATCTGGGCAGAATACAATCACTATGTATCTAAAGAACCTAATTAATCTGACTATATGTATAACAAACAGGAACAACTATTGACCTATAATATTTAATACCTGTATAACTTAAAGACTAAGACTTCATGTCAGAATATTAAACAATCTGTAAACAAATGTGCTGCAAATGAGAATGATGACCTCAAAATGTAAACAATGTATAAGTATCTTGGTCAGAAGTAAGAATAATATATAATGCTATATGAAAATATATTCTAAAAGTTATATAAGTATACAAAATGTCCTAACAGAGGTAGAAACATGCATGTATACAATATGACAGAATAATTTTGCAAGGTGTACAAATATTGTAAACAAATAACAAATATAATTTGAACTTATATCAATATACAAAAAACTATACCAATGTAAATTATCCATAAATAATAGCTCACAAGTAGTCATTCTATTACCCACTATTATTATTAGTGTGAATAAATTCACACTAAATTATCTATCATCCCATTTCATTTTTCTCTTTTTTATTTGAGCCCACATAGTTTCCACCCCAACCTTCTACCTTATGCAAGTAATAATCAACAACCCCTAAACGGTGTTCCCAACCCTGAGGACAAACTTTGTTGGGAGAGGGGACATCGTTTTCTAGAATTGCTTCCAGCTGTCATGGGGGCAACGTTCTTTTTAATGGGATCCTGTAAAAGTGAAGTGATGGTTAAGTTTCAAGATTACTGTCTAGTATAGTTGCAAACGATTTACAAGCAGTCGATAAGGCTTTTCCCAAAGTTCTTATTTGGAGTTCTGGCCAGAATGTCATGAGAAGGTGCACCATTTCAGCAGCTGGCACCCAAAAATTGGTCTTGTAGTAGCGCTATCAGCATCATGATGTCATCTCAACCAGGTGGAGTTGTTGCTATGGGGCCCCATCTTCTTCCAGAAACTTCAAAGATTACTGCAGGAAAAGGATCTGTAGGAAACTCTATTGTTTATTGTGGAAAACTTAAACATTATTCACAGAGACATATATTCAATGAAGAATACGATATAAACAAAATAGCCATGGAGAAAGTAAAATTTTTCCTAAAGTCTTCCTTCTGTCTCATACCAGATGGCTCCTGACACGAGACAGAAACTCTGAATGTTCTTTTTAACAACATGCTTGGGTTTAGAGAAAGACAGAGCCATTGTCCAACCCCAAATCCAACTCTATATATTCACAAATATATATATGTTTAAATGTATATGTTTTGATCACCTGTCCTCATAAGTCATATTCCGTTTTTCCTTCTGTCAGCATCCAAACATCCAGGGTCTCTTGAACTTTTGAAGATGTGTATTTTCCTTGGAAAATGAAGACATTGAATAATGTAAAAAACTTCTGAATTGAATCAACCTGTGTATTTTAAGGATGTGTTGACCTCACAATGGAAACTAGAAGATGTGCTACATTGGGGAAGGGGTTTGACTCTTGTTTCCACAGGAGAAGAAAAACTATGGATACCATCAAAATTAATAAAGGTTTGCTTTGAAAATGAGAAACCTCTTGAGAAACAGTAATAACAGCTCATCCATAACGGTGACAACCATACAGGTGGTAAGGAAATCATATAGGGTTGGGGCAGAGTTCTGTTCTTGTCTTTATAGGAAAACAATGAAATCCCCAGCAAAATTCCAACACAATTCTTCACAGACCTCAAAAGAAAATACCCAATTTTATGTGGAAAAACAAAAAACCCAGAACAGGCAAATCAATACTCTATAATAAAGTATCTTCTGGAGGCATCACCATTCTTGACATCAAGCTCTATTATATACAGTAATAAAAACAGCTTGGCATTGGCATAAAAACAAACAGATGGACCAAGGGAATCGAATCAAAGACCCTGATAGTAATCCACACACCTCTGAACACCTGATTTTTTTTTACAAAGAAACTAAAATTATGCAGTAGAAAAAAGAAATCATATTTAACAAATGGTGCTGGCATAACCAGATGTCAACATGTAGAAGAACACAAAGAGATCCATACCTATCCCCACATACAAAACTTAAGTCCAAGTGTGTTGGCAGAGGCCGCTCAGACTTGAAATAATCACATAGAAACTATATTATTTAAATCACTGCTTGGTCAATCACTGAAGTGTATTTCTAGCTAGCTCTTATATCCTAAATTAACCCATTTCTATTAATCTGTGTATCACCATGTGACTGTGGCTTACCAGCTAGAGTTCTGCCTAGTGTCTGTCTCTGGCAGAGCTACATAGCTTCTCTCTGACTCTGCCTTCTCTCTCTCCATCTATCTATCTATCTATCTATCTATCTATCTATCTATCTATCTATCCCTTCCAGCCTAGCTATATTCCGTTAAGCCATTGCCCAAAAGCAGCTTCTTTATTAACCAATAAAAACACATATACAGAAGGATTTCCCACACCACAAATGGATCAAAGATCTCAACACAAATCTAGCCACATTGAACCTCACTGAAGAGAAAGTGGGAAGTATCCTTGAACGCATGGACACAGGAGACACTTCCTAAATATAACCCCAGAAGCACAGACACTGAGAGCAACAATTAATAAATGGGACCTCCTGAAACTGAGAAGCTTCTGTAAGGCAAAGGACACTGTCACTAAGACAAAATGGCAGCCTACAGAATGGTAAAAGATCTTCACTAACCCCAAAGCAGACAGAGCACTGATCTCCAAAATATATAACATCAAATTACCAAATAATCCAATTAAAAATGGGTTATAGATCTAAACAGAGAATTCTCAACAGAAGAATTATAAATGGCTGAAAGACACTCAAGGAATTGCTTAACATCCTTAGCCATAGGGAAACACAAATCAAAATGATTTTGAGATACCGTCTTACACCAGTCAGGAAGGCTAAGATCAAAAACACCAATGATAGCTTATGCTGGAGAGGATGTGGAGTCAGAGGAACACTCCTCCATTGCTACTGGGAATGCAAACTTGTACAGCTACTTTGGAAATCAGTGTGGTAGTTTTTTAGAAAATTGGGAATCAATCTATCTCAAGACCCAGCAATACCACTCTTGGGCATATACCCAAAGGGTGCACACTCATACCATAAAGAAATTTGCTCAGCTGTGTTCACAGCAGCATTATTCATAATAGCCAGAACTTGGAAACAACCTATGTGCCTCTCAACCGAAGAATAGAAAAGGAATATGTGTAACATTTACACAGTAAGAGTACCACTCAGTGGTAAAAACCAATGACATCTTAAAATTTGCATGCAAATGGATGGAACTGGAAAAAACCATCCTGAGTGTGGTAACCCAGACCCAGAAAAACAAACAGTACATACTCACTCATAAGTGAATATGAGACATAAAACGAAGGATAATCAGCCCATAGTCTATGATCCCAGAGAAACTAGGTAACAAATAGAACCCTACGAGAAACACACACATGGATCCCCTTGGGAAGGGGAAATAGACATGATCTCCTGAAAAAGTTGGGAGTATGGGGGAGGAGAAGGGAACTTTATATTTCATTAATATATTTCCTCCTTTCCCTTATTCACCCACCCCCATCCCTGCCTTCAAATCTCCCCCCCCACTTTAATATCTATCACGTGTTTAAACCTTTGCCTGCCTCTTTTGGGCTACTTCCCCTATTCTCTCTCATGGGCCCTTTCTAACTTCCTGCCCTCAATGTATACTTGCAATTTAACACACAAATCTAAATATTCAAAGCTAAGATCCAGATATGAGAAAGAACATGCAGGGTTTATCTTTCTGGGCCTAGGTGGTATCTCCTAGGATAATATTTTCCAGTTTCATCTATTTTCCTGCACATTTTATTACTTCATTTTCCTTTACAGCTGAATAAAATTTCATTGTATAAGTACTGCATTTTCATTGTTCATTCAGCAGCTGGTGAATGTCTTAGCCCATTCTATTTGCTGGCTATTGTGAATTTGGAGTTTCTTATGCCTGAAAATGTTGACATTGTCACTGCTATTCCTGACCTCACTCAATTGGTTCCCAGAGCAGCAAGAAGTAGCCTTTGCATTGGCCTGCCTGGTGTGACAGAAGACAGAGAAATGGGATTAAAGCAGGTGTCTTATATATGTTGTTTTTTTAAAGATCTTTTCATCTTAACCAGAAAGTATGATATGATGCCAATGGGTCTCTGATTGAATTCTCTTACATGGCTACATATTTCTGAAGCTAAAATACAAAATCTAACCACTCTGTCATAATTGACTTTTTAGATAAATGAGCATTTTAAGACATTGACTTCCTCACCTTATTTTTTGTTTTTTATTTTTTGGGTTTTGTTTTGTTTCTGTTTTGAAAGCCCAAATTTACTTTTGATTAGTAGTCAAATTCTAAGTTACTCTGGGAGAAATCAAATCTGAAAAGGAAAGTTAAGAGTTACAAATGCTCAGATGTATTTGGGAAATTGGTGCTGAGGTTTATTTGAGCATGGAATGGAATTCAGAACTCTGTGAAAGACAGCTGGTATCTAGAGAGCTGATGTCACACAGATGTCCCAGACTGGAGAGATGTAAGAGCTAACAGTGGCTGTCCATTCAAGCTGGCCACACTTCTGAAAGTAAGTTCTTCAAACTTAGACCTCAGTAATTACAGTTTTCTGTTTTAAGTAACAGTTTTATTCTTGGAAAATTTCACATGTCACATATGTATACAGTGTATCTCAATCGTATATACTTCCCTCTTACCCTTCAGAAAGCTTCCTGACATCTCTTTCCTACTCTTACATTATCTTTTTAAATTTTTAAATTTCTATAACCTACCAAGTCTGCTAAGTGCTGCCAAGGTGCACGTGGGTGACCTTAGTGGTCATATCCCAGAGAAAATGGAGTCTACCTCTCCCAACAACTACCAGGAAGCTGCCTAGAGGTAGGGCCTCAGGAGGCCAGCCCCTATATATGCTGACATTTTAACTGACTTGATCTTTTGTAGGTAATCACAGATGCTATAAAGCCATGGCCACAAGACAGCAGGACATAGCACTCCTCACCCTACACTCTTTAGATTCCCCTCTTCGCAGTGTTTCCTGGGCCCTAGTGTCAGAAGTCTAATGTTGATAACACATGCTTCATCTATGCCTCGGTACCCACAGTCACATTTTCTTAGCGCTTTGACCAATTATGGTGTGAGCATTAACTATTGTACACTGCAAAAATGAAGCTTCTCTGACCAAAGCTGAGATTAGCATTGACCTATTTGTTTAAACATAAATATTAAAAGGCAGTTTGACAACATGACCATGTAGTAAAATATGAGTAGTGGGTTCCCTTCTAAATCCCATGACCTCCCCTGCCAAAGTTTTTGACTAGGATTACATTACTAGACATGAATTCCCTCCTGTGGAGCAGGCCTCAAATCAATCAGAAAGTAATTTGTTACCCACCCTCCCCATCCTATGCCCCAAACAGTCATGCCACTGTTGCATCTTACATATATACCTGAGTATCCACTGCCTGGAAAGTTAGTGTTGTAGGAACAGGGTCCAGCATTGAGTAAGACCTCTGGTCTTTTAACCCCTAGCAGCCTGCCCAACACCTTATGGCCTTTTGCAAACTAGTTGTCAGGAGAGCTTCCTGGTCAGTTTGAGATTGATTTCTCTGTCCTGGAACCAAAGTGTGTGGAGTCTTCAGCAATAAGGTCTTACCATCTAGTTATGGTGGGCAACAAAGACCATTGACAATACCTTGTGTTTTCTTGGGTGCTTCTGGATCCTCCCTAACCAGTAACTGTTAGAAGGTTAAACTATGATTAGCATTCTTTCCAAAGGTTTATTTTGGTTGTCTAATGGCATTTTTACAAATGCCGGTTTTGAGCAATGAGAAGAATCAGAAAGCGGCAGGTAGGCTCTGGGTGGCCGGAAAGTTTGTTTCCCTAGCTCACTTTTCACCTGAGAGTGTCAGAGTTAAGTGTAAAGAACTTAATTTTCCAAATGAAAATGTTGAAGACTCAGGTCTTAGAAGGACAGCAGCAACTTTCAATACTTGACTCATCCATCCCACTCCATTCCTGCCTCCCATAATATTCACTATTTATAAAATGGATTTTCAGGCTCTCTGAGTGTTGGAGTTCTGGCTTAGAAGTTGTCTCTCCTGTACAAGAGCTCCAAAGCTCACACTCAGGCTAGGGTTGGCTGTGACTCTGAGTACAAGCATGATTTAGGAGGCCCGGGCATGTGGGAAAGAGGCAACTGCTAGCTCCAGGGTGGGCCCTTCCATTTATTGAGAGTCTATTAATTTCTGCTTGTCTGCCTTTTCCACTGCTTGTCTTTCTATCCTTGGTCTGTTCTTTAGCTTTCTTGCTTCAGGATTTTACATTTGAATCCCCCTTTACATGGAAAATTTCCCTCCTGTCCACCTTGGGCCAGGTAAAACCTCTCTGGAAAGAGTCTCTCCGGGTTCCATGTAATCTGTGTTTGAGGCCCATTTCCCCTTCACTGAAAGAAGTGTGTGGGGCCTGCTGATGGCTGGGAGGGAGGGAGGCCGCATTCACTGCTTGTCTGCTCTTTTCTCTGCCCAGGTATGTCTAAACCTTTTGACCTCCGACCAACAATCCTCATTGTTATTTGTACTGGGATCCTGGCAGCCATATTTCTATTGAAAGGAGTTGTCCTCTATTTTTACTTCAAAGTAGCCAAGACACTGGATGCAGCTAGGTAAGAATGCACAATACCCCATCTAATGGGACACTGGGCTCTCAGCTGGAGCATGGTCATTTCTTACTACAGTGGCCACTAGTAGGGGAAAGTCGGGGCCATGGTCAGGTTTGAGATGATGGGGGCAAATGAGTATAGAAGCTTGAAGGTTTTCCTTCTAGCTTGGAGCTGAGAGCTTACAAGTCCACTGCTCTCGGCCTGGACTCAGTGTGTGTGTGTGTGTGTGTGTGTGTGTGTGTGTGTGTACCATGTGCACGCGTGTGCTAGCGTTCCTTTCTGTCACCGGGGGATGTGCCTTCGGTGTTTAACAGGACCCTGGCTGAGCCCCCTTTCTTTTCCTCTCTGGCACTGTAGACTGGGAAATCCACAGTGGATGCTGTGGGAAGGAGCTGTCTCCTACTCACACAGAGTATGGCCATAAAGACCTCTTCCCACTCACTGGGGAGCTCACAAGTTCCCTCATTCATTGTCAGTGGCTGTGGGAAAAGTGAAGAGGGTCAAGAGAATAGAGACTCCATGGAGGACAGCTAACAGGGATGGAAGTCAGATGAGATATGTTTGAAGACTGGGAGAAAAGCCTTAAGTAGGAGAGGCAGGCTGTCAGCAGTAATGGTGTTCCTCTCTCGGGACTTCGATGGTGGAGACCAGAGCTGAGCCCAGTCAACTCTAGCACCTTCTTCATCATTCCCACATCTCATGGGCCTGTAGCAGCCACTGGGGTGCAAGCCACTCTCCCTTGCATGAAGTAGCAACCTGGGTTCACATGCATAGTAACTGTAGGAGAGGGAAAAGACAGGGAAGGAACAGAGACCCCAAGGCTGGTGTCACATGTGTGATGGGCTTCAGCCCCAGGACTTCCCATATAGCCCTCATGTTGTAAAAGCTCACTGGAAAGGACAATTCTAAGCTCATTTTGTGTGTTTCTTTAAAGAATTGTAAAAGAAGCAGATGTCGCTGTAAGCTGCATTGATCCATGCAAGGTCACCCATGAGAACGTCACCCAGGCCAAACCCATCCCTATGGAGCCTTGTCGGACCCTGCAGTGCTGTGATGTCTGTAGTGTCTACACAGATGCCGGTGCCCTCTCACCCTGCATTTGTAGCATAAGTGAAGGACTCTGACATGGCAGTGGTGGATGAAAAGAAATCTTCATGATCAATATTTCAATTCCTTAGTGGGACGTTTTCGTATTCAAGCCACTTTCTATAGTGTTGATGTTGTCGTGTACCATGTACCATGATATTTATGTACTTTTGTATAAATGTACAATAATGAAAACAATGTCTGTCTGTGTTATGTTTCTTAGTTATACTTCTTATACTAATACCCACTATGAGATTCGGGCAGGCAGGCAAAACAGGTAAAAACAGGAAAAAGAATAGAAAATAAAAGTGCCCTGTGCTTTTCCAGTCCCAGAAGGAACAGGGAGGTTGACTTCAGGCATGTCTGATTTTAGTCACAATTAAGCATGGGAGATTGTTCCTCTTCAATCCAGCTTGTCAATGTCCCGACAATGGTGTCACTGGGAGATAGTGGGTACATCCTGGTGGAACATATCTCTGTTTACATGGGCTGGCATTTAATGATGGGTTGATCTTTGTGGTTTCTAAAGAAAATGAATGTAGAGACTAATTATGCCCTATAATCCCATCTGGGAGGTGGAGGCAGGGGGATCTTAACTAAATCACTGCTTGGCCAATTACTTAAGTGTATTTTTAACTAGTTCTTACATCTAGAATTAACCCATCTCCATTATTTTATATTTTCCCATGAGGCTTGTGGCCCACCAGCAAGGTGTCAATGTGTCTGTCTCTGGCAGCGACTCCATGTCTTCTCCTGACTCTGCCTCCTTTCTCCCAGCACTCAGTTTAGTATTCCCCATCTAGCTCTGCTCTACCCTATCACAGGCCCAAAACAGCTTCTTTATTAACCAATGGTTTTCACAGCATACAGAGGGGAATCCCATATCAATTGTGTGTTCAAGGTCACCATCAACTATACTGAGTTTGAGCTGATCTGAGTTACAGTAGACCCTTCTTTAGAAAAGAGAGAGAGCATGTGCTAACAGGAGCAGGCAAGCCTATGATTGTCCCTACCACTGACCACCCAGATTTCACATCTGTTTAGAACCAGGTGTCTCCTTTAGATCACTTTTCATAGTCTCTTTAACCTTCTTGTTCTTCAGACTGTAGATGAGAGGGTTCAACGTGAAGATCACCACTGTAGATCACAGAAGCCACTTTGACCTGATCAGCTGAATAGTTTGACTTTGGCATCACATATACAAATAAAACTGTCCCATAAAAACCAGAGCCTGGGGATTAACAGATTTTTAAAAAATAGATACAGTTTAAAGACAACAAAGCATCCTTTGAGGATCTCTGACACCAGGATAACTCAAGCTGACACTTCCTCTAAAGGCTTGGGACTTCCTTTCTCCCAGTTCTTCTCTGCCTGCTGAACTCTGCCCTGAAGAGCCACCGACTGAATTTGAAATGTGGCAGCTACTGGGCCCAAAGAGCCAGGAGCAAATGAAAAAGTTAATGCTTTTGCTTTGTTGTTCTTTGTCCCGCCAGGAAGAAAGCAGTGTGCAGAAGGAAACGCTCACAAAGCTCTGATATCTACCCAGTGTGTTCTGTCACATGCTGAGCCCTGTGCCAACCCCTCCCTCTGTACTAGGAAAGTCACCCCATCCCAACACATCCTGAGGATGCCCCCACCTCATCCAGAGGAGGAAACGGAGATTTGAAATATTTCAGAGATGAGCTAGTTTTAGTGATGATGAAGACAGGGTGTTTGGCCCCGAAATCACTACCTACTTTCCAGTGTAACTTCACCAATGCAGGTTACAGCCAATCAATCAAGAACAACCGACGTTACCTAAAATCATATCACTGACAGGAAATGACGGTGCTAGGCCAGACAGAGAGGCTATGAAAGACACAAGCAGAGTGAGGGGGTCAGCAAGTAACGTCTTTTCATTCTTTTCGACCCCACAGGTAAGCCTGCTTATTTGAATCATTTGTTTGGGGGAGAAACCAAAGCCAGATGTATCCCATCTGCACATCTAAGAGTGACTCCATGTCACCACCCGAGCTTCTGCATACCCAGGTCCATTCTGTTCTAATAATGGATACTAGAATACAATTTTCTTTCTTTCTTTTTTTATTGTACTCTGCGACTACAGGGATAGTACCTGTATGACGTGTCTGTCTTGCCAGTTGATTTGGTTTTGTAATTCTTAATTTTAATGTATTAAGCAGTTGACCAATTAGAGACAAAATCACATGTAGCCCAGGCTACGTGTTGTGTGGGTACTGGGAACTGAACCTTGATCCTCTTGGAGAGCAGCTGGTGTTCTTAAACATTTAGCCATATCCAGGTCCTATCAAACATATTTAAAAAATTTCTGGTTCTGACAATGATTTTATTGTCTCTGTGTGTGGTGGTTTGAATGAGAATGGTTCTCATAGGCTCATATATTTGAATGATTGGTCCCCTGCTGGTTGAACTGTTTGGGAAGGATTGAAGTGTAACTTTGTTGAAGGAGGTATGTCCCTGGGGAGAGTCTTTGAACTTTGAAAAGGCTAAGAAAACCCCAATTAACTCCATCTGCTTCTGTGTGGATCAAAAGGTGAGCTACCAGCTACTGCACCAGCACCATGCCTACCTGCTTGCTGCCATGCTCCTCACCACAGTGGTCGTGGACTCTAGCCCCTGGAACCATGAGCCTCAAATAAATTGCCTTTTTCTTTCTTTCTTCTTTTCTTCCTTCCTTCCTTCCTTCCTTCCTTCCTTCCTTCCTTTCTTTCTTTCTTTCTTTCTTTCTTTCTTTCTTTCTTTCTTTTTTTGAGACAGGGTTTCTCTGTAGTTTTAGTGCCTGTCCTGGAACCAGCTCTTGTAGACCAGGCTGGCCTTGAACTCACAGAGATCTGCCTGTCTCAGGTTCCTGAGTGCTAGGATTAAAGATGTGCGCCCCCACCGCCTGGCTTAAATTGCTTTCTTTTATAAGTTATTTTGGTCAGGAGTGTTTTATCATAGCAATAGAGAAGTAACTAAGACACTGTGTCTGTGTTTAAGTGTGGTGTATTTGCAGGATGTAGTCCTGGCTCTCTGATTAAACTGATGAAGTTTGAAGCTTCCTTGTAAAAAAAACTCACATAAGGTAAAGAGTCAGATTAAAGGAAATGATAATTAACTTCGCACCTTAGCTAGCAGGAGGGTAGGCTGGGAACAGTGGCCTGGGACTATCCTAGTTTCCTTCCTGATTTATGTGTGGTGGCACAGGACACTCCCAGAACTGGAGAGTCATGAACCCATCTGGCTCAGAACCCAGCCCACCTGAGCAGATGACACCAGCATCCTCATGGTGGCCACAGTTGTGGGCAAACCAGCCACTGTGCAGACATTGCCACAGTCTGGCTTCCGTTCCCATGCATTCTACATCATCCAGGACAGTGGGACCAAGGCCCCGCTCAAAATGTGCTCAGCCAGTGGCTGCCACAGCTCCTCCACAGCCCAGCTGGCGGCACACCACCTGGGCATCTCTTAGGTCCCAGCTGTCATCACACACTGTGCCCCAGCTGCTGTTGTAGTAGAGCTCCACACGGCCTTCACATGGGTGGCTGCCATTGGCTAGTCTGAGTGCCACATCTGGAAAAGCACACAAGCTGGGTCACTGCCCTGAAGCTTCCCTTTATTGATGAGCACTTGCAAGTAAGGAGGACACGTTCTCTGCCTTGGTTAGCTTTGAGGGCTCAACCTTCACACTGGGGAAGGCACCTTATGGGTTAAAACTGACTGCTGAACACCTTGGATTTGATGCAAATGTGATAATATTTGGCCTAATAGATGCCAACATTCCCCTATATATCCCTGTGTTACTTTTATATTTCACAGAGTTCAAAGAAGGCTTTCAAAAGCCTTCTATAATGTGACAATAATTGAGCATGGAAACACTATCTCTCTACTGGTGGTGAACTCATTATTAACATATTTGAATAGAACAGGATCTAACATGGGGCTAGCTGGATCCCCTTTCTCCTAGCAGTTAATGGACCTCTAATCTCAGAAGATGTGTGCCTCTACGTCCAGAGCAATGTGCTCAGCAATAAACCTCTCCAACTCACATCTCAGGAGCTGTGGCTGACCAGAAGCTTGGGAAGCACTCTCAG